TTCGGGTAAGGTTAACCTACCGACAATTGTCGGCAAGTTTCGGGTAAGGGTAACCTGCCGATTGATGGCATGGTTTGAATAAGAGTAATAATCATTTATTTGTGTAGTTTATTTTTTTTTTTTTTTGAAAGAAAATTTTTTTTTTTTTTTTTAAAATTAAAAAGAAAAGTAAGTTCATTAAATATCGATTTTACAGAAAAAAAAAATAAATATTACGTGAAACTCTTGGCGTTTGTCATTTTGCAGATTGATACAATACAGAACATGTATGCGTCAATCCTATTATTCGTTATGCAAAGCAAGGAACCATCCGCGTGTCAATGAGTCACAACTTCTATTTTGGTAATTTAAATTTTTTGTCAATGACATCGAGAGATTATCAATTGAACTTGTAGCCACTGATTGTTCCAATATCTTTATTTTTTAAAAAAAATATTTTTCAAACTAACATTAATAAACTTATGAAGAAAAAAAAAAATTGGAGATCGATTTCTTTTAGCATCTTTTTTTAAAGAAAATTACTACGTACGTATCAACGGTGTCACGTAACCTATATTTGTCACCTGTGTCACACCTCCCCTGTCTTTCAATTTTACTATTTATTCCAGGAACTTAGAAATTTTTCACTATAAAAAACTTATTCATCACAAATTATTTGTCACATAGGTAATTTTCATCAATTCGGCCCGAATTATGAACACCGGTGATCATCACCACCGGTAATAAATAGCAAACTACCGTTTAAATTTAAAAATTTATTCTTTGTTATTTTTAATTTTAATTTTTATTTAATTCATATCCAAATTACATTAATTATTGAAGATTTTTTTTTTTTTTAAAATAATTAATAAAAATAAGTGTATTTATAAAACTAAGATATTTTTTTTAAAAAAATAAAATAGAATAATCTTATCTTTACAAAGATTAAATTTAATATCAACAATTGTTAAAATTTTTTATTCTGCACTTTGAAATAATTCTAAAATTAAATTAATCCTTCATGATTTATAAGCAAATGGTTTTTGTTTTTTCAAAAATAGATTAATATAATTGTTGCAAAAATGGTTGATATTGAAAAAAATACTAATTTCTGAATATTAAAAAATATTATTATCTAACTTTTGATTAAACAAACTGAAACACTAAACTGATTAAGCAACAGCTAAATTTAGTTCAAAACTTATATTATACTTGAGAGAATCTTTACTTAATTTCTTTCTTGAAGGTAAAAATGAAGCATTACATACTTCTCTTAAAATCTCATCTTGATATTCCTTAATTTCAGTTTCTAAGTCAAAAATATGAAAACTTTACTAACTTATTATTAAAAATACTTCTTAAAATAATCAAAATACATCTTTATTATATTCAATTATTAAATAATAACTAATAAAAAAATTACTTCTTTTTTTATTGATTATTTTTACCTAATTTAGATTATATTTAGGCTAATTATTAATCTATCTATTTTGTCTATCATTTTTTATAGATTATTTGTAGATTTTTCTTTACTATATCATAAATTTGCTTCTGAAGATCCTTAGAAATATAAAATATAATAGTTCTATAATAGAAAGAAAAAATAAAATTATTATAGAAATGTTAGAATATTTATAAAAAATAAAATATCATGAAATTAATATTCTAAGAATATTTAACCATATTAGTCTATATAATTATAATAATATTTATTCTTAAGATAATTTTTCATTATAAATATAGAAATTATTATACTATATTTAATACTATTATATAATCTTTAGATAATATAGGTCCTTTGCAATAGAAAGGAGGGAAACTACCTTATAGTAGTTTTGTGATAAATCAGTTTTTGTGATACTAAAAATAAAATGTACAATCGATTCATAAATTGTGATGTCAATCATTACCAAAATAAAAAATACAAGTAATATTCTTTGCAATAGAAAAGGAAGAAACAGCTGAAAAAATTGTTGTTGAATTTACTGAATTTGCTGAATTTACCAATTAATACTTTCGTTAAAATGGATTTTGGAAGGTAAAGAATTCGGCTTCATTTAATAATGAATGATTTTTTTATTTTATTTTTTTTTTAGGAACTTATTAATATTCCTTTTCTTTTTTTTTTAGCGGTGTTCTTAGTTTTTGACAAGGTAGCGGAGGGTTTGGCTTTTGTTAAATGGTAAGTAAATTTGTTTTTATTTTTATTTTTTTTATTTTAGAAACTTTATTAATGTTCCTTTTTTTCTTTTAGCAATATTCTTAGATTTTGACAAGGTGAAGGGTTCAGTTTTCGTTTAATAATAGGAAATTTATTTTTATTTTATTTTATTTTTATTTAAAGAACTTTGTTAATGCTTCTTTTCTTTTTTTTCTCTTAATGGTGGTCTTGGATATGGAGGGTTTAGCTTTCGTTTAAATGGTTAGTGATTTATTTTTATTTTTATTTATTTTTGTTTTAGAAACTTTATTAAAATTCTTTTCTTTTTTTCTTTAGCAGTGGTCTTGGATTTATAGAGGATTCTATATGATAAGTGAAAACATTTTTTTTATTTTTTTTTTATTTTAGAAATTTTATTCTAATGGTATACAAACATATTAAATTTATTAAAATTAAATTAATATTTAATTAAAAAAATAAATTTATAAAACTAAAATAAATT